TAACGTATCCAGTCCATAAGAGGTCACTATAGAGAGTCTGTAGCTCGTTACTCATTTCACATTTTCTTCGCTGCACATGCGGAAGTTTCACAACAATAACAAAGCGAAGCTGAAGGTTCCATACCAGTTTGCAGGTTATAGCCCATAATTATTGCAGGATGGTCAATCTCGGTCTCACTAAAGTTGATGATGCGGTTGTAGCAAAGCACCCGGTGCGTATACTGTATATCATAATGCGTGACTGCTGCTTGACTGATGTGACATTTTCACCATCATTTACTGCCATAAATGTAATTCATAGAGGAGTCCGGGGCATGTTGTCACTCTGTTTACTCCAATGAAAACCACTTTATGTACAGACACATAATGAACCAAAGGAATAAACTCTTATTTCCACAGTTCTTGCCTATTAAAAATGATAAAGTTATAACACAATGCAAACCAGCAGTTTATTGACAATTAATTAAATGATTTGAGACGAATACATTTTTAGTCTATGAAAAAAAAGTAAAAGTAAAAGAAAAGAAACAGCCATTGTCTACAAATATCTGTATTTAAAATTTAGGCTAATGGCTTTCCAGTTAGCTGTATACAGTAAACATACAGAACACGTGTTGTCCCAAATATTTTGACATTTATGAAAAATACTCTTCAGATTTCACAGTTCAACCTCTTATTCAAAGTCAACCGTCATTATATATTTGATTTGTCTGAGCGCATACTGAAGTTTTAGTGGAAAATGGACTTGATGCTTAACAATGAAATGTATGAAACCATTATACAAAACTTCTGCTAGAGAAACACATTTATGTCAAGTCACCTTTATTTATATAGCAGTTTATACAATACAGATTGTCAAAGCAGCTTTACAGTGTTAAACTGAAAAATACATGTGCTGATAATGCAAAAGGACAATAGAAAAGTCAGTTTTTCAGTTAATTTCGGTTCATCATTGATTCAGTGATGTCATCATCCAGCTCAGTTCAGCTCTCTTCAAATAGTGTCTGTGACAGTATGGCACAGAAATTGTGTCCCCAACTAAGCAAGACAAAGGCGACAGTGGCAAGGAACCAAAACACTATCGGTGACAGAAATGGAGAAAAAAATCCTTGGGAGAAACCAGGCTCAAGTCGGGGGGCCAGTTCTCCTCTTGCCAGACGAAACCATCAAGGTGTGGATTAATTCTAGGCTGCAACGCAAGTCAGATTGAGCAGAGGACTCGTCTGGTTTCCGTGGTCTTGTGCCGATGGCCGTCGAGGTGACAAGGTCTCCCATCGGTGACAGAAATTGAGAAAAAACCTTGGGAGAAACCAGGCTCAGTCAGGGGGCCAGTTCTCCTCTTGCCAGACGAAACCATCAAGGTGTGGATTAATTCTAGGCTGCAACGCAAGTCAGATTGAGCAGAGGACTCGTCTGGTTCCCGTGGTCTTGTGCCGATGGCCGTCGAGGTGACAAGGTCTTTGCAGGGGATCGGTCTCTGGGGCTCATCTAGTTGACATGGTCTCCGCTGACATTCAGGGCTGTAGAGGTCGTCTCTAGATGCTGATCCACCATCTGGTCTGGATATGGACTGGATCTGGGTGGCTATGGTGACCTCGGAATAAGAATGAAATAGACTAATATTAGCATAGATGCCATTTTTTTCCCGGTGTAGTCAGTGGCATTTATGCTACTAGGCTTTTGTTTTAAAGGCAAGGCTACTGAGATATAGCTTAGCTCTTGTGACAACTAGCCCCAGTCTCCCCTGAGCTTACATCACAATAACTCCATAGTGATGATATTTCATTGTCCTCAGGGTTTGCAGCAGTACGCCGCTTGTCAGTCTTACGCCTTTATGAAAGGCACAGCAAGCTTCATACTGGGTTAGTGTCATATTCACATTAAGAGGTTGTGTCTGATCATTATGAACAATTAGTGTTTGTGAAAGTAAATGACAAATAAGACTGCTTTAATATCTTTTTGGTAACGCTTTAGTTTAGGGACCAATTCTTACTATTAACTAGTATTAGCATGTATATTACTAGCATACTGTTTATTAGTACTTATAAAGAAAAACATCAATGCCTTATTCTGCATGACCATATTTTAGAACCCTTAATCCTACCCCATACCTAAACTTAGCAACTACTTTACTAACTATTAATAAGCAGCAAATTAGGAGGTTATTGAGGCAAAAGTCGTAGTTAATCGCTAGTTAAAAGTGAGAATTGTTCCTTAAACACAGTGATTAAAGATTTTTGCTAAAGTTCCTTTGTGAATTAGATTTTTTCTACTGAGAAAGAACAAAATAGTACACTCTAAAAAATGCTGGGTTAAATACAACCCAGTGCTGGGTAAAATAGGGACAAACCCAGCAATTGGGCTGTTTTGACCCAGCGGTTGGGTTAAATGTTTAACCCAACCTTCTGGGTAGTAACCCAACCACTGGGTCAAAACAACCCAATTGGTGGGTTTGTCCCTGTTTTACCCAGCACTGGGTTGTATTTAACCCAGCATTTTTTAGAGTGTAGTTGGGTTAAACATTTAACCCAACCGCTGGGTCAAAACAGCCCAATTGCTGGGTTTGTCCCTGTTTTACCCAGCACTGGGTTGTATTTAACCCAGCATTTTTTTAGAGTGTAATCTTACATGTGTGTTCTCTAGAGATTCAAAAGAAATCTAAACAGTGTCTCATACTCAGATTTGCAAAGATACCTTATCAAATCCAAGATATCAGTATGAACTCAACTATTTTTCTTCAAATCCTTCCTGGTCAGTTTATCTTGAGTTATGCCATCCATATTAATTTTTGAATCTGTACTTTGGTGTATGTAAATGTCTCATTTGCGTTTGACTTATAAGGAACTTTGGAGGAAACATCTGAGACAAATTTACTTATATGAAATATATAGAGTGTGAGCTGTGAAAATACAACCTCTGATTAGTTTTATTTTATTAACTAATTTTGTTCTTTTGGCTTTGGGTGAAAATTTTACACCTCTCAACCAGGCACAGCTGGTTTATTTTTTGCACAGCGAGTACTTCAGAAAAGAATCCCATATCCCCTTCAGTGGAACCTTCTAGTGTCTATTGGTAAGCCTGATGCATTTTCATCATTATCATGCAAGACAAGACTCATAACACACAATTAAATACACTGTTTGTGTGTGTGTATGTGTTATAAACACAATATGTTGGCTTAATGCAATATAAAAAGAAAAAAAAAAAATTCATGTGAGTTAAGCTGCTTTCTCTTTTGGTCTGTACAGTTTCGTCCTCAGTATTCAGCTATTCAGTAACTCGCTGGGAAACCATGAAGTGCTCAGACTTGTGGTTATTTCTTGAGACAGGAAATGTTCCTGACAGAAACTCTCCTAGTAAGTATTTACTAGTTTGCTTGTTTCTTTTTAGTAATTAAAAATGATGAATGGATAGATTAATCTTGACTGAAATATTAACCTTCATTTGAACAGAAACTTCTCTTTTTTTAGTGGTTGTGTAGGTCTCAATCTAGGGCTCATAAAATACCTTGTGCCAATTGTGGCATTGAGCAGTAAATAATTCACTCAATTTTGACCGGTACATTAATGTCTCAGAATCTATTTGGCGACATGGACTTAAGTATTAATTTATTCTTTACCAGCTGCCATTTACAGCGAGTACAAAATCTTTGATAATGTACAGTCAGCCTGTCATCACAAAATACACTTTTCCAAGGTAAAACAATCTCTCTGCTTCTTGGAAGGGTCCTGAACACCCTGTAAGTGTTTATTTTATGATAATGAGGGGATGACTGTACATTTTAATCTATAGGTTTTATGTCTGCTTTGATCCCTGATTTGAACAGACTGTCTTCAATTGTTTTGTTATATTTTGGACTTCATGACACAGGAATCTGACCATTTGTTTCTTTACTATACACTTAGAGGAAGAACCACAAACTCCTGCAGCACCTGCAGATCCCAAAGTCACACGATATGGGGATGTGATTGAATGAGCTCAAACCTTTGTTTGCTTAATAGTCTGAGTGGCCAATACGAAGACTCTTTATTAATTCATTTCAGGAAATGGCATCGAGTGGGTGATTTTAGGAGGATGTTTAGCTAAACTAAAAGTGTATTTGGTTCTGGTTATAAAACTATCTTTTAATATATGGTGTATGTGTCAATAAATATTCATAACAAGAATCGCTATGCTTTATCATCTGGCTTACTCAATCAAATGTTCTATGAAAGGAGTCATCTAGTGTGATGAAGCTGAAAAAAAAAAACATTTTGATTTTAGTTGGTGAGATACCATAGCCAAAATTAACTTGCAGTCCACCAGACTAGGATCAAATGTTGCCATTTTTAAGTAGACAGAGGAGCTTTTATTCTCAGAGTGTACTGGCTATAATGCTGAAAAAGATGAGAAGGGTGGAGGAACAAAAAGACTGATAACATCATAGGAAAGTGCTGTGAGTTGCTGTCAGCTTGAACCGAAGTCCCAGGAATGTGGATAACTGATAAATTTATAGGTTGGTAACATTACAAGCTGGCAATAAACTTGTTATTAGTTACTTTTGTTGTATGTACTTTCTTAGTAGTTTAATAGTTTTTCCACAGTAATTTATCTTTCTATACATTAGCATTACTATTTCACATTTATTAAACATTGATAATTAACAATGATACACTATTTTAACATACCCTTGTTACAGTGTAACACAAATAAGTAGAACTCCTGAGTAATATTAAATAACAGTATGTACATAGGATTAAGGTTTAGTTTAGGGTTGGTTTCTTGTAATTATGTGTAATTTACTGTTATTAAGTATATGTAACAAGAACATTGTAAAATTAAGCGTAACCGTTACCTTATATTCTTTACACAGTGAAGCTTTGTGTAATAACACAGTAGGGGTGCACATCAACTGCCTGAAGGTGTCACTTGACGTTATTCACAACCGTCCAATCAGAGGACATGTAACAAAGGCTGGGGCAATGTCTCTGTTTTGATTGGTTAAGAGGTCGGGCCGGGATGAAGGACGCGCCCCGGCGAATGCAGTATGACATTCATACTCAGCAGAATTTCCACGAGCATCGCATGACTGGGAGGAGGATTACAGAAGATACGCGTCTGCTTCTTACTGTAACTGTAGAAAAATGACATTGTAAAAGTATGTGTCAGTTATCTTAGCAAGTGCATTATTAATAAGCTCTTTTATTCGCTGGCTGCTAAAAAAAAGTAGACCTAGAGTTTGTTGTTTAAAGTGAAATCAGAGCTTGTACATCACCTGCTGTTTCCGGGAATTCCGCGATTGAAACATGGATTTCGTTCTCGGCGGAGCCGCTGCGTGTGGCGCCTGCTTTTTTACAAACCCTCTGGAGGTGGTCAAAACTCGAATGCAATTGCAAGGAGAGCTGAAAAGCCGAGGAACCTACCAAGTGTATTATAGAAATGTGTTTCACGCCTTTTACACGATAGGCAAAATAGACGGACTGGCTGGTCTTCAGAAAGGTTTGGTCCCCGGGTTGGTTTATCAGTTTTTTATGAATGGGGTCCGGCTGGGGTCTTACGCCATCATCGAGTCCTTGGGCTACATTCACACGGACGGAAGGGTCAGCGCTACCAAGAGCATAGTGTCCGGGGCCATTGCCGGTGTGGTGGGCGCTGTAATGGGGAGCCCGATTTACCTGGTGAGTACCGAGAATTGTCTCTGTTTCTGTCTAGTAAACGACTGATTTAAGCACGTGTTTAGTGACGGCCAGTGCGGTCACTCTGAATATCATCAACGCGTAAAGTAGAGCTGTCAATTACAAAGAGAGCACAATGTTGGAACGCCTTTAAAATAGCCGCTATACGCAGATCTGTGACCTACATCATGAATTGTATTTTATTGCTCCAAGTTCCCTCGTCGCTTAGCAACCGTAAACAGACTAATGTACTCTATAATTAGGAGAAACTATATTATTATAAATGATTGTATGATTATTATAACAACGTTATAAAACATGTGATTATTTATAAATATTTCAGTATATTCAGAAATAGTTGCTTTTGGGTTCCATTCACTGAAAGTAGATTATTTTTACTGCCAAGGTCCAAAATGGACAAAAAGCACCAAGTGGCTTTAGTTTACCAGCTGTTTAACCACTTTCTCACTTTCTATTTGTTATTTCCTTCAGGTAAAAACACATCTCCAGTCTCAATCCACTTCCTCTATTGCAGTTGGACACCAGTATAAGCACAGGGTAAGTTAATGGTCACCTCACAGAATCATCTGACATGACATCAGATTTATTATTTTTTTCTTTGAATGTGACTTGAGAACTTTGATCTTCAAGTTGACTGATCCTAGGGTTGTGGAGTTTTTTTTTTTTTAATGTTAGATCCCATCACATTTGTGGTAATGTACAATTAATGTACAAAGTGTGGTTTTGTTTGCATAACAGGAACCAGTTTGAATCTAAAATCACACTGCGACTGTTTGTTATACATTTCTTTTACATATCTTTGCTTTTTCTTTGTGTCAGGGAATGATGCATGCTCTACTGGCCATCCACAAACAGCATGGAATTCTGGGTTTGTGGAGGGGTGCAAGTGCGGCAGTCCCAAGGGTCAGTGTGGGGTCAGCTGCTCAGCTTTCTACTTTCTCTGCCTCTAAAGAGCTGGTCACTGACCTACAGGTGAGCATAGGATATTTCACTTCAGCTGGGAGTTATTCACACTGAGAATAGAAGAGAGGGTTGACACCTATTCTTACAGACGCTAGTTAAGCTTTTCCCATAAACTGTTGAGATCAACACCTGTTAATAAATAGTTTCAAAACACTGTCTGCGTAAATTAGCCCTAGCGATCCAACTCAGTCATAATATGTCTGTGTAGGACAGTACAGAGGCCAGTGTTTTAGTTAATCTGCTTTTTTATATTTTTATCATTTAACACATCTTATTAGAGATGTTAATTTAGCCTTGGACCCCATTAAATCAAACGTTTTGTCTTTTAGTCATTAATGTGTGTTAGCTTTGAGGTTATCAATATGTTGGTACACTAATAAAAGTTGACAAAACAAACATTAAAAGGTAAAAGGTAATACACAGATATAAACGCATCTTTCTTTTCATGGAAAATGGACCAAGACTATTAATGGCTTGTTTCCATGGGTATATACATATTTTTATTCAATAAATCCCATCCCCCCACCTCAAAACACCTGCCGTGACTAGAAATATTGTAGATAATGTTCTACAGTAAACTACCAGCATGCCCTTTGACATGTCCTGCCACATCTTCCTGTTTTAAAAGAAAATATGTCAACAATGGAAAGACAGTTGTGTCATGAAAAACATGTTTTAAGCAAACCTTGTATTTAGGGCATTGGGCTATGCCATTGCTACAGTTAATTTAACACTTGCTTGATCATAGCTAACGAAATATATATTGTGTGTTTGATTGGTCCAGACGCTACACTACTACTAGGGATTTTCATATTTTAGTTACTAGTAATTTATAAAGCAAAGGGAATTGAATATGAATACACCCACCTATAGTTTAACCATTAGGAAATGGCAAAAATAGATTGCTTAATGCAGCACAATAAAATGATCTAAATACAAAATAAAGATCAATATTTAGGTGTTTGTCATTTTTGTGACAAAGACCAACAAATGAATAGAAGGTATTGGTATTCTATTCGAAAGTCATGAGAAACTGTTATAGTTTGCTTTATACATTTTTTGTATAAATACTGTATATAAAAGTATTATTGGGCTTTCTGAGAATGACCTCAGAATTGAAAAAAAATAAAAATGATTTCATAGGTGTTACAAATCTACAAAAACAAACTGCACCTGAAATCACATAACAGGTACAGTTTTATCAACATCATCAGTTCATAGAAGAGTGGAAAGGAAGTGTGGCAGGAAAGCAGCATGAGTACATGATGACAGAACTGCCATTTTTGGGAAATCTATACCTTTAACTGTAGAAGTACAGTCTCAATACAGTGACATGTTTTGTTAGTAATCTGTGTTGTTTTTTTCTGTATTTGTAGGTGTTCTCTGAGGGCAGCTGGTTAATAGCTCTGAGTGCTGGTATGATCAGTAGTGTAGTGGTTGTATTAGCTATGACTCCTTTTGATGTGGTCAGCACTCGACTCTACAACCAGCCTGTGGACCATGTGGGCAAGGTGATCTCCTACCAAGCTGTCATCATTGTTGAAATTGATAAAGCTGGTAAAAAAAGGCATTAATCTCTTTCTCTGTACTTTTCTCCTGCAGGGCATATTGTACCGAGGTTTTGTGGACTGTTTCTCTAAGACGTTGAAGAAGGAAGGCATGTCTGGTTTGTATAAAGGTCTCGGAGCCTCCTACTTCCGCATCGGACCTCATACCATCCTTTCCCTACTTTTCTGGAATGAATTGCGCACTTTGTACCATAGCTACGGTTAGCGTCTCGCTATTACCTGCAACAGCAAAATATCAATAGTGTTTCCCTGATTTGGTGATTAAAGAAGCAATCGAGCACTAAGGTATGAAAGGTGCTTGCTATATTGTGAATATAGTCACAGCTAAAAGTTGTCATTAGACACAACGTGCAGCAGAGTGCTCATTCCTTTTATAAAATTGTTACTACATACTAAATATATATTTTTTATTAAAACATTATTTTATTAAGCATTCATATGGCAGCCTTCCACTAGAAGATTTAGGTAGCCAGGACTGGAATTATCATTTTTTTCAAATAAAAATAAATAAATAAAACTCAATTAGAATGTACTGTATGTAGCAGGATGGAATATTTACTTGATCATTATGTTGTTATGCAAACACACTCCAGTGAATATGCATATGGTTTTATAGAGACAGAACACATGTACACTTCTGTTTAATTATGCAAATTAAGTTCGTGAATTCCTGGTTCTGATTGGCTTCACATGTTCCAAGGGTGTTGATTGTTAACTGAATGATTAATTTGCTATAACTACAAAGTAGTACCAACTTATTAACCACATTACAGTTCAGGATGACTTCATCACATTTTTTTTTCTGAAGTTTTGCATCTTGGGAAAGATTCGTGAATTCCTGGTTCTGATTGGCTTCACATGTTCCAAGGGTGTTGATTGTTAACTGAATGATTAATTTGCTATAACTACATAAGTAAGTACCAACTTATTAACCACATTACAGTTCAGGATGACTTCATCACATTTTTTTTTCTGAAGTTTTGCATCTTGGGAAAGCTACTTAATTGATAGCATAAGGAAGCAGTTTTGCACAAAATTATTTTATGTCATTCATTTTTAAATCATCGTTTTAAAAAAATACACTTATTTTTTTTACTTTTGACCCTTTCCTAAAGAATAAATGTAATCCGCTACATCAGAATCACATGGTTGAACAAATTTATTTTACTCTACTATTAATCACATTATGTACTGTAAATGTTTAGTTCTCACACAGAGATTGTGTAGAACGACTGTAACACAACTGTTTTTTTCCATTTGTTTTTTTTCTTTGACTTTGACATTGACAACTATAATTATTAATCATGTTTGGAAGGACAAAGACTTACTTTTGAGTAGTTAGAAGTTGGAATGAAGTTGAACTCCATCTGACTGGTTAAAAAATAACAATAGCATTTTCTCAACCTTTTTTTTGTGTCTTGTTTGTCAATGCCTTTAATGTAAGAATGTCTACTTTGTTTCAATTGTGGTTCCTTGGGTGGAACATAAATTTACAAAGCAACCGATATAAACCTTATCACTTTTGGTTGTACAATTAACAGTTTCATGTCATGTTCTTAAATATTCTTTGAGAACATGACATCATTTGCAAAGAATATTAGGACAATAAGACAATTAGGAGAATAAGACTATTATGGGGGACCGAATAATGGTCACCATTTGCCTTACATTACATGTGCTGTACTGAATGAGCTGTTTGATGCTTTAGAGAAACTAATGTAACATTAAATTATTTACTAAGAGATTTAAATTATATAGGTACATAATGGGTTTGTAACATAATATAATAAATAATTTGAGAATAAACTATTTTTAAAAGAAAGACTTGTGTTTTCTATATACATGACATTAACACTGCAATATGTTGTCTTTTAAGTACAAATACACTACTGATAATCTCAGATTAAAAGTTTTTTGGACACTTAATTCACACTTAGAAATGTCTGAATGTCATTGTATTAATCAAACCAACAAGTGGCATTAAGGAAATAAGCCTAAACATTTTTTTTTTTTTTTACTGTTAATCATCTGGTCCCAAGGTCATTTTTAATGCATTTATGAAGAGTTTTCTATAGGTTTACAAGTGTAGTTCATCAGATTAACTATGGGCATATTCTACTTGCATCAAAATACATTTTGTTTTCATTTTGATCCCTGTACCTATAGGTTTATCATTTACAACCTTGTTGTGAAAGGTTCTGATTGTGCTATTTTTTAAATAAAGGCCCAAAATTATACATTTCTTAATAGTGCTTACACTCTTTCAGAATGATAGGCAAGTTAAAGATAAGTGAGTTAAAGTGTCTTACATTTCAGAGTAACTCAGGAAAACCTGAGTTTCAACATGGAGTGTCAGTTAAGTTGTTAAACATTAGGTTTGTGGTCAAATAATGGAGATGTTTGAATCTGCAAACAAAAGACAATGATGACTGCAAACATTTAAGAGAACCACAAGAAAACTCCAGAGAAATTTTACTGAACTAAATATGCAACAAGTTGAGTAAACACCGGATTTCAAATGTGAGTCAGTTTCAGGAAGACAATGTTTTCTTATTATAAAATTTTTTTTATTTTTGCTTTTTACCAGTAACTCAAGATTCTCTATTTGTACATCCTCACTTATGAATCAGACAAATGCTAAGCCTTGTACTTGCACTTCAAAGAAAAAAATATTTTATAGAGGCTCTAGCTTTCTAGCTGTGTTTTAGCCAGTTTAACCTGTTAACGTTTTTTAATCTGTTCAGTCACTGTAAAGGCATAACTGTAAAAGCCTCTGGGAAAAAAAAGCTTTTTAATGGAAACCAACTGCATTTAAATGTGTACGTGAAGCATCTACCCAAACACTCCAGGGTCAAGTAGACAGAATGACTGCAGAACACCTTTGAAGTCCTGTAGTGTCCATGGTACAGCAGCCACATTTTCAACGGCACTGCTGCTGAGGGGACTGAGAGAGAAGATTTAACATCAAACCTCTTGCTCTATACATATTAGGATCTTGATTACATTTCAACATCTATTAAAGGCAGAGTAAGTGATTTCTGGTAGCCAATGTTGATATTTGAAATCCCCAAAACAAACACGCCCCTACCCCAAAAGGGTCTTGCCCCTATTTTGATAGCTCCGCCCCACATATACGTACGCAACCCAGGCAACGATTAATTCTGTGAAACAAAGCAAAACCAATGTTACA